GTTCAAAAATTAGAATATTTTCCACAAAAAAGCTTACAAAAATACAAAACAGATAAAAGTTACTTCTTGATGTTTAAAAATGTCTCAGCATTAAAATCTTTGATATCACGTAACTTAGTTTAATGTTAAAATTATTGCAAAATTTTCAATTAATGTCAATACACACAAGAGCTAGTGAAATTATAAATAAGTGCCTTTATCAAGTTTTAGATGAAATGTCTATAACTATTATATAATGCCTGCACGCGCTCAGAACAATAGCAATACAAAGTTTAGGCTGATCGATCAACATTTCCGATTTTAGTAGGTTGACGTCATTCAGCTGACTAATCAGCGCGTTGTGCCATCTGAATATTTAGTCGCACGTGATATTAATAGAGTCTCCGCCCTGCCATCTGTAGTTTAAATTTAAAACTAAAAATAATATTTAGGAGACGTTTTATTACACGAGGAATATATATATTACAAATATGATAATATGATTATTTTGAAATTAAATTATAGATATAAAAATAATATCGTGTTATAATTAGTGAATATATTTATATATTTATTATAAATATACTTAAATGTAATTGAGAAAATTTAAAAATTCCATGCGATGATGCTTCCATCTATGAATAAATATTTTCAATAAAATTAATTCGCCTGAATTAAAAATTTTAAAAATGACGTAATATTATATTAAAATTTATATATAAATTATTTTAATAAAACTATATATTTGTTTAATTAAAATATTTTATTTTTAAACCAATTTTAATAAAAATGAATAAATTTGCCAATAATTAAATAGATTATAAATCTTTATATAAATATTCTAAGCTGTAAATAAATAACCAACTTGTAGAAGCCCAATGCCATAACATATAAGAGGCCTTTCCCTCTAACAAATAATAAATTTAAAATACAGTGAAGTCCTAAATCGTAGCCCATTAGTATAAGGTCTAAACTGATAAATTTATTAATTGCACGTGATTAAAAACATTACCTAAACTATTACGATTTTCCTTTAATTTAAATTAATCAATTCGATTAATTTAAATAGATTTAAGATGATTTATTTATATGAATTGCAAGGCCAAAAACCAGGACAAATTCATCATTCATTAATTCAGATTTTAGCCTTTGAACGGGTTGTCAATCGAACGAACAACGCCCAAGAATATAAAACTAGGTCAATGTCGATAAAATAAAAATTAAAATAATAATAAATAATTAAAAGCGAAAATTGAAGATGTTTTTTCAGTTTCCATTTTAATATTGGAAGCCATTTTCTCGTTATTAATATTCAAGGTTTTTTTTTAAATAAAAATCACTCGATTTTATTGGAGTTAAATTTTAAAAATTAAATTAAAAGCGCCAATTAAAATTCGATTATTTATTCCGAAATGCGAATATATCAAACGTTTCGCGACATTTCATATATTCGATAGCGATTAAAGTAATATTGAGCCAAGACAATATATTTACATATATTTATCTATCTATATATATATATATCTTTTATTTTACTCCAGAATCAAGGCGTTTCTTTACAGACATCATTTTTTTTTTGGAAAATGCAAGACCCTTCACCCAATAACATTAAAACCCAAAAAGCATATTAAAGTGTTTTAAAAGTGGTAACCGTAGGAGTAAGCGTTGGGAACTCCGTGGAAGTAAGCATTTGGGTGATGGTAGTAAGCACCATATGGGTGGTGGAATGGGTAACCCAAGTAGTGATGTTTCAATGGTTCTGGTGCTTTTGGTGCGAGAGCGGCGATGGCAGCGGCATCGGCAAGAGTTTTCTTATCTGGACCAATGTCGCCTGAGGGGTGGAAACCTGAAGCATCGGCGGTGTAGGTCACTTGTCTCAGGTGGCCGTTGGGGTCTACGTAGCTGTACTGTCCACTTACAGCACCAGCAGTGCCTGATTCGGAACGGGTATGAAGGCCTGCATCACCGGTCTTGTAGCCGAAGTTGTAATTGATGCCATCAGATGACAGGTGTGCGTCTGTTGCGAAAGCGCAGACGACGAGAGCGGAAAGAATAATCTGTAATATTAAAATACAACCGTTACAACAACAATTAAGCCTGCAAAGTTTGCTTTTCCTATTGCTAATATGCCTAGAGGTGAAGTAGTAAATGCTAGTAGGTAGCAAAGAAAATCATAAAATGTATACTTACAAATTTCATGATGTCTGTTGCTGTCTGTAGATGGAAGACTGCAGTGAAGACTTGGTCAAATGTCCACTTATTTATACCACTCATCCCATCACCTGACAAATATGAGGAAGTGATTTGATTCGTCCGTTTCGACCTTGTTATAGGTGTACAGATCGGATGACCCCGCCAGAACATCTAAAGATGGACCATTTTAGCACCTACACATTCGATATGCAAATCGAATTTTTTGCCACACTCGAAATTAGGTCAACGAGGGACACATCAAAATTTCGGCGACAAAGAAATTAGCATTTGTCAAATACAGAGTAACTAATTCCAGTTGTGGTTTACACATTCAATGAGTCAGTTAAGGTCACCTAGTGAAAATCTGTGTTAGAGAAATGAAATGTTTTCCTATCGGGAAGAGCATTCTGCAGGGATTCTTGATTAGCATCCAGATATTTAACCTTGATCAGCGATTGTCCTTGTGCATTCCTCTCTTCATTCACGGTTTATTGATTAATACTTTTTATTATTTTTATGAATATTCTGATTTTAAATACAGTTTTGGAGGTCTCTGCTTTAGAAGGTTTGTTTACATTCTTCATTAGACCTGTTTCTGAATAAAAGTGATCATATGAAATCATTATCGTGACGAATCGAGAAATTTCTATACTATTGAAGAAATTTTAATTGAATTTTAGAATTAAAAAAAATATAAATTAGTATAAAGTAAAATCCCACCTTCGAAATCCATGAAATTACCCTCTAAAACTGCATAAGTTTTAATATAAATCATCTGGGTGGCCCCTAGCTACTTCACTTAAATGGCCACGATTGAAGCATTCTAAAACTGACGTTTATCCTCGTGTAGGTGGTCAACAGAACAGGTTAATCTCGCAAAATTAAGTTCAACCTATAGTTTAAAGTACTTTAAACAGAATTGCTGTATTTTTGAAACAGTTTTTCAAAATTTGTATTAAACATTTAACAGAATTTAGTACAGTATTCTAATTACAATTCTGTATATCAATTTTTTCATGAGCCTACTTAAGCGATCACTCATTTATGTGGCCAGAAATCGTATACCCTGAAGGTGGCTACATGAGGTTTCACTGTATTTAAATAGAAATTTTTTAAGTTAAATATATGCTAATTCTCCTACTTCATTCAACTTACATCAATGCATTCTGTAATCTAATGTATAAATTAATTCTTGGAACTGATTCTATTGAAGCTATCGTATACCACTTAATATACAACAGTATAATTGATCTGCACGAGTCAAAAGTACTACAGTATACTGCAAAGACAAAGGTTTAATTAGGTATTAATAAACTCATTAGCACAGTTTTCGTTTAAATATTAGTTAATTATGAGTCTATGTGTACATAAATGTTTTATTCATTCGACTATCAATTACCGAAATCCATAATGATTGCCAAACAAATTATGTATCATTAAGAGAAGGACATAAAAACATTTCAAAGTCGAAAACAATAATTATTGTTTTTTACAACAAATTAAGCATTCTCTTACTAGTGAATTACTGAGATCATTGTGAAGAGTCGAATTTTTATTTCTAGTTTCGTAATATTAGCGAAGGACATCAGTGGAGGTGACAAACTGACCTTGCTCAGATACCGTTATATCTAAGGTGCCCCACCCAATTCAAATATCTTGCAGATGGGTGGGACGAGTTACAGTTAGAAACTATTTTTACTTTTTAGAGGAAGTTTGAAAAATAAATTTCTTAAATCTTAAATTTAAGGTTATTATTATTTTTTTTTTTATAATGTGCGAAGTGTTTTCTATTTCCTCTTCTGTGCAAAGTAAAATAATTTAATCTGTAGGATGAATTAATGTTCTAATAATAAATAGGTTTCATATTAAATCTACAGAATGTATAACGATTAAAATTTAAATGAGCCCTCCCTTGAAATTCCTGCATCTATTCTATCAAAAAAAAGGGGGAAAATAAGAAGTTCAATTTAGTAAGAAGATAGTCATTATTTTATTGAGTTTCTTTTCGAATTTGAGGAAAATTAAATCAAGATCTTATCTTGGTTACATCCATTGAATCTCTCTCTGGCCATTTAAATATATGTAGACCCACCTATATAAAATTTAATTAAAACCAGATATATAGAAACGTTTCTAGAAGTTCTAAAAGTTTTCAGAGTTAATCTCTAGGATCCAGAGGAAAGTATAAGCTACATGAAACCTAAACATTTCACCCCTCCCTTGATTTCTTCCCTCTTACCCTTGGTGATAAACATAACAATGGTAAGCTAAAATAACCAAATCTTTAATATGGTAAATATTTAATAATTATTAATAGAAAATGACTTATAAAAAGCAATTAAATTAGCAAGTGTTGTTATTTATCATACTAAGAAATAATATGTTAAAACAGAACAATAGTTTGCATGAGGCGGTGGCTAAGAATATTTGGAGGATATTCAAGGTAGTTTGTAGAGTCAGAGTAAACTCGTGTGGGATCGCGATGATTATGATGAATCAATAACCAGTTTTAGCTATAATTAATAGTGTAATCGATACCATAGATTGTAACTGAACGGGGGATTTTTATGAACCATTAAACTTTATAGCCATAACAACATTTAGAATTTTTAATTCGTCCTTCTTTTACAATGGATTTTCAAAGAAAAAATTGAATGATAATTAGAAATTAATACAGTTTATAATGTATTAAAAATTATGTAATTCATAGGAAATGTGAAAAAAACAGGAAGTAATTATTTGCTATCTTCTACTTGAATTAGTTTGCCCTTGTAAATGAATAAACAAAGAAGATTGATGATTTCTAAAAGATAAAACAAGAATATTTTGCCAAAAAATAGAATGTTTTGATGAACTTGATAGACCTTATTTAAATCTAACTTATGTATATTATTTATAATTAATTTAGAGTAATTTTAATTGATCTTATATCTTTCATTTAGAAAATTATAATTGGTTATATTATCTCTCATTAAAATTTAATTAGGTGCAATATAAAAATGCTTTTTAACATAAAAATTTGTTACAGTTGTCATTATGCACCTAATTAATGCTGAAAACATTAATTACAAGTAAATCACTGTTAGCGACTTTTGATGATAAATCCATATTTTTGATTTGTACATCATAAATTAAAGCTTTCGATAATAAAATTTAAGTTACACTTTTTAAGACAGTTTGCATTCCACAAGTCAATAAATTTTACTGAAGTTATCTGTTGATGTGAATGGAATATAGGATGAGGTTAATTTTTTTTCTCAAGGTAAAAACCCACGGTCAAGGTTTCCAACAATTTCAAGGATTTTTCTTTTAACTAGAGCTTCCTAACAAGTTTTTTAGTAATAAAATTTAATTTTAAAGTCTTCTTTCAATGTTTATGATTTAGTTATAAAATTTCTATGTTATAGAAGGTGTAAACGTGATTGAATCCCTGTGAAATCTCTTTTGTAGAGTGAGAATTTAAGAAGTGAAATATCTAATTACATTTTTAACTTTAATTATTCTAATTTGATATTCACATAAATTGTTACAATCAAGTCTGTGTTATTAAAATCGTTATCAGAATAAAAATTATATCAGAATGGTTCAAACCTTAATCTAAAATAAATTGAAATATGCCAATGATGGATCAACAATTAATATTAGATTTTGAAGTTATCCATTTGGAAGTATTCTATATCAAAGTTTTTCTCAACTTGGGCCACAGAACAAGGAGCCAAAAATCAATTTTGGAAAAGCCATAGTAAATTATAGAGGGCAACAATCAGAACCAAATATTAAAATTATATGAAAAAGAATACATTTCAATAAGTAAATTATTAGAGAAATGTATGCAAATTATTAAAATGTTATGTTTTAATAAAATACAAAAGTAAATTTGATAAGGAAATTTTGAACCTAAAATGTTTATCAGACAATATACATTCATTTGTTTCTTGTAAATGAAGACACTTTAAATCTTGCACGTGTATACAGAGCATGTCATTTTCATTTAATATTTTTGTTCAAAGGATGTTTACTATTAAAATATTGCTTGTAGATGTATGGAATGCATATCCCAAGAACTTCATTTTAGCCTCACCACTTGTTCACCTCTGAAACTGGCATAAAAACGAGTGTGAAGTAAACTATTAAAAAAAAAAGTAACAATTATATATAGTAATACCATATGTATGCAAGTTTTGAATTTGAAGGTTGAAAGTTACACGATTTAACGTTATATGCTATAATTATTTTAATTAAAAATCCATTTTATAATATTTAAAAAAGCGGTAGAATTTTCAATGTTTATTTTTTAATTTTACCCCCAGCTACTATTATGGAGGAACTCAGAAAAATGTGTAAGCTCAAAAGGTGCCAAAGGTAAAAAGAAAATTGAGAAACACTGCTCTATATGTATATATATGTATAAATATATAGAATGTCCAGAAAGACAGTTATGTGAGCCACTTCAGTTAGGTTAGATTAATTAACTTTTGGGTCACCCTTTAAATGTAAGTTATAAATACTGACTATAAAAAAGGCACAGCATAAAATTATCAAGATAAAAAACCTCTGATAATTATTAATTTTCTTAATAATTATCTTAAAACTAGAGTTACAACTATTAAAACTAATTGGATATTACAAATTGAACCCAGATAAATGGGGTTGGATTGCATATACTGTATATGGAAAGTTTTGTGTCAGTCCTTTGTTTTCCCTACATGTTGTTTCATCTAGTCACTCTCTCATCTGTTCACTTTAAGACTGGCCATTACTTCTTCTAATCTGTCTCTAGTAGATGCTTTCACCAGAAAATCTTCATTAGGATGTCCTTGTAGCCTACAGCAAGTCCATCAGAGAGACCTGACCAGTCTAAGCTAACAAGACAACTTTAACCCAACATATTTCATAAGTCAATCAAGTATATCTTTGAATAAAATGATACTGTAAATTACTGAACATTCGTTATAATTAAAAACGATATTTTATGGTTTGTAATTATGACTTCAATTATTAATTTATTCTACTTCACTTAATATAAAAATTATTTATTTATTATTTTTTATATTCCTTGATAANGTATAACTCCAATTTAATGCAATATTAAATAT